CGGCGCTATCGAGGTGATGGTGACGATGACGACGGTGGTGACACGGAGGGGGTCGCGGATCCAGCTGCCTGCGGCAGATCCTGATGCCGTGCCAGCGCATCTGCACAGCAGGAAGGATGTTGAGTTCAAGACCCGTTCCAGTTCAGTGCCTTGCTTGAACTGGCGCGGGTCGAAAACATCTCCTCCTGTGCCGCAGCCTCGTTGTTCTTCACCTTTTCCGTCGTCATCGTTTTCCCTCTTGAAATCATATCGGGCGCTTCTTGAGGGCTCCTTCGGGCCTCCTGGTGTCCCCTTGGGCCCTCCCTGTGGCTTTCGTGGGTGGGCCTGTCGGGGAGCCTATTGGGGCCCGGCAGGGGTCGAGGTGCAGTCTCGGGTGCGATGGTTCCACAGAGCTCTCCCGAGGAGACACGATTGGGCCACCTCGGGGACGCCCGGGGCAGGTCTTGGTGCGGGCTCGGAGCTCCCTTGGGCCCTTAGTCTTAAGTCGGGCCTGTCCCTCTACATGGGGGGAATATTCAAAAATAGTAAAAAAAAATAGTCAGGGGATTTTTGTTTGATCCTTCAAACATTGGATTTTTTGGGGGTATGTTTTATTTTTCGTCGAAAAGCCCCTGTAGGGGGACACGCCCGACTCAACCTTAGTCTGGGCGGGCATCTTGGGCACTCGGTGGATCTGCATTGGGTCTGCAGCTGGGGTCGTCTTGGGGCCGCTGCCCCTCTCGCAGCGATGCGTGTGGTGGTGCGTCCATGGGGGGTGCCTCGCACGAGCCAGGAATGGATGATGGTGCTGATAACGATGCTGATGACGATGACGATGACGGTGATGATGATGATGATGATGATGATGATGATGCTGATGATGATGATGATGATGATGGTGATGGCAATGACGATGACAACGGCGATGATGCCGACGATGACGATGATGATGCAGAGGATGATGCTGGTGATGATGATGATGGTGATGCTGATGGTGATGATGATGATCATGATGCTGCTGATAATGATGATTATGATGATGATGATGATGATAATGATAATGATGATGCTGATAATGATGGTGATGATGATGATGATGGTGATGCGGCCGATGATGGTGGCGGCGTTGGCGAGGTGGTGGTGACGATCACGATGGTGATAACACGAAGGAGGTTAAGGATCTGGTTGCTTGCGGCACTTCTCGTCGCCGTGTCAGTGCAGCTGCACATGAGGAAGTAGGTCGAGTTCAAGACTCGTACCAGTTCAGTGCCTTGTTTGAACTGGCGTGGGTCTCGCACATCCCCGGTGATGATGCGGCTGATGATGATGCTGATGTTGATCATACTGGTAATGACGATGACGACGAACACGATCATGTCGTCGGCGACGGCGGCGGCGGCGCAGACCGCGATGATGATGACGATGATGGTGATGACGACGAAGATGATGATGATGATGATGATGATGATGATGATGATGATGATGATGATGCTGATGCTGATGATGATGATGATGATGGGATTGACGACGATGACGATGACGATGGTGGTGATGATGCTGATGCTGATGATGATGCTGATGATGATGGTAGTGATGATGATGCTGATGAGGATTATGGCGATGATGACAATGGTGATGGTCATGCGGATGAGTATGCTGATAACGTGGATGAATCTGCAAATGATGATGCTAAAGCGGATGGCGATCATGATTGTAACGATGGTGCATATGACGATACATCTTGAGATAATGATGACGATGATAATGATGAGGCTGATGATGACGACGCTGTTTGTGATGCTGCTCGTGATGAGGATCATGTCGTAGGCAACTGCGACGAGGGTGATCGCGGTTGCGACGACGACGGCGCCGATGATGATGGTAAGGGTGATGATGATGTTGATTTTGATGATGTTGGCAAGGGTGACGACCGACGACGACGGCGAGGACGGTGGCGCTGACGACGGCATCTGATGGCAGTGGTGATGATGATGATGATGATGTTGATGGTGGCGCTGATGCTGACGATGGTGATGATGCTAATGCTGATGATGATGATGACGCGGTCGATGATGATGATGATGTGATGTGAAGGTGGTGACTCTGGTGACGATGCTGGCAATCACCATTATGATGATCATGGTAATGATGATGATGCCAATGATGACGATGATGCTGACGTTCATGACGCTGCTGACAATGACCAGCATGCTGACTATGATGTTGGTGATGCTGATGATGACGATGATGCTGGCGCTCATGCCGACGATGATGATAACGTTGGCTACGATATGGTCGGTGCCGATGCTGATGGCGATGTCGAGGACTATGACTTTGATGGTCATGGGGACGATGATGCGGGTGGCAATGATGATGATGATGATGATGATGATGATGACGGTGATGATGGTGAGGAGGATGATGATGATGATGCTGCGGATGGTGACGATGAGGATGATGACGACGATTTTGCCGATCAGGGGGGTGATGACGCTGATGATGATGATGATGTTCATGATGCTGCTGACGACGACGGCGACGACGACGACGATGGCGGGGAAGGCAGTGACGACGACGACGACGATTGTGACGATGCTGCTGATGATGGTGATGGTGATGGTGATGGTGATGGTGATGATGTCATGGTGATGATGTTAATGATGATGATGGTGGCGGTGATGTTGATGATGCTGCCGACCGTTGACGATGATGACGACGTTTGCGACGACGACGACCATGATGATGTTGCTGCTTCTGATGATGATGGTGATGACGGTGATGATGGTGATGATGATGACGATGAGGATTTTAGTGATGGTGGTGATAATGATGGAGGTGGCTATGATGATGAGAGTGGCGGTGATGAAGTTCATGGTGAGGATGATGATCTTGACAGGCAGGGTGACGTTACTTATGATTGTGGCGGTGATGATGAGGAGGAGGACGATGATTCGTATGATCAGGGGGGTAATGACACTGATGATTGCCAGGAGGTAGGATGGTAGATGGGTGCGGTGATGGCTGCGATGACGATGACGATGGCGATGAGGATGGTGAGGAGGATGATGATGATGATGACGAAACTAACGTTGATGATGAGGTGGAGAAGGAGGTGGCTGCTGCTGCGGATGATGATGATGCTGATGATGAGGACGAGGATGACGATGAGGATGCTGTGGTGGTGGGGGTGGTTACACATCCTTCCCAGGCGCGCGCCTGCTGTGCTCGCGCGGTCGCGCTTGTTTTACCAGAACTTATGAGAGGAGGAGGACGGGGAGGAGGCGGAGCAGGCGGTGGAGGAGAAAAGTGATGAGTTGAATGGGGGAAGGGGGAGGATGAGGCGGATGGAGAGGAGGAGGAGGAGGAGGAAGTGGAGGAGGAGGATCAGTGTAAATCCAAGACGCATCAACGATGTTCCAGTAAACCCTCCCTCCAAGCCCCCTCGTCATGAGACCGTACTAGAATGTATTTCCCCTTGCGGGAAGTGCCCTGTTGGAAGAACAACCGTCTGAGAAGCCTTAACCCTACCAAAACAGCATTCCTGGGACTTCCGCGCCGCGAGTCAACGTTACTGCTGCGTCCTGACGATCCTGAGTTTTACCAGATAACCGTTTCTGGGATTTCAACCCATCAAATCAAAGTGACTGACGCTCCCTGAGAAGTTTAAGTCGCGCCAAAATGCCCTGCCTGGGATGGCACCCGCAGGATCCCTTGAAACTGCTGTAAACTTTGAAGACAACTCTGCGCGGCGCTAAGGCGAGTGCTCTAATGTGAAAGGCACCCGCCCTTCACCCGCGAAGCGCTTGCAAACTGTTCGAATGTCCGCGGCGCTAAGGCGAGAGCCACATTTTGAAAAGGAGCCGCCCTCCATCCGTGAAGCTCTTGCAACCTTTGTAGATGAATGTGCGTGGTGCCAAGGCGAGTCCATGCCCTCCATGCTGGAAACTGGCGCAAAGTTTGAAGACGAATGTGCGCGGCGCTTTGGCGAGTGCCACATTTTGAGAACGACCCGCCCTCCATCCGTGCAGCTTGTTCAAGCTTTGAAGACAGCTGTGCGCGGCGCTAAGGCGAGAGCCACATTTTGACAAAAACGCCCCCGATCCGTGAAGCTTGCGAGCTTTTAAGGCGAAAGGTGGCTGATGCTTGGCCGCGTGATCTCGCTGGCTGCGCCCTAGCCGGGGAGTCGCCCCTGGTCTGCACTGTCCGTCCATACCAGCCGCCTTCGCCAACTACGCGGCTATTTTCATTTGCGGTAGGGCCGCTTTCCGAAGCCATGGAAGCCGCGGGTCGATTCCGTTCGGCTCGATGCGCGCCCAGTTCGGTTCGGCCGCTTCGGTTTGGGTCGCAGACAGGTTAGGTTCGACCGGTTCGGTTCTGTTCGGTTCGGCCGCTTCGGTTCGGCTGGTTCGGTTCGACAGGTTCGTTTTTTGTATGTTTTTGTTTCTTCCCCCCCGACTGGAGGAGGAGGAGCAGGAGGAGGAGGAGGAGGAGGAGGGGAGGGGGAGGGGGAGCAAGGAGGAGGAGGAGGAGGAGGAGGAGGAGGGGGAGGAGGAGGAGGAGGGAAGGAGGAGGGAGAGGAGGAGGAGAAGGAGGAGGAGGAGGAGGAGAAGAAGAAGGAGGAGAAGAAGGAGGAAGAGGGGAAGGAGGAGGGCGAGGACGAGGAGTTGGCGAAGACGACGATGACGGCGGCGCCGCTTCGCGCTTCCGTTCCAAGTGCCCACGGTGCCCGCGCCCACCTGCAGGTGCCTCGCCGCCCGCTCCTCGTCGCTGACCGCTGCCGTTGGCCGCTGCCAGATGCCGCTGCTGTTGGCTGCTGCGGGATGCCGGCGCCGGGGGGGGGTGCTGGGGGTCCTCCGAGGGTCCGCCCTGGCAGGTGCCTCGCCGCCCGCTCCTCGCTGCTGGCCGCTGCCGCTGGCCGCTGCCGCTGGCCGCTGCCGCTGGCCGCTGCCGCTGGCCGCTGCGGGATGCCGCTGCCGTTGGTTGCTGCGGGATGCTGGCGCCTGGGGGGCGCTGGGGGTCCTCCGAGGGCCCCATGGGGTGCCACCCAAGACATGATCGCGTCGAAACAAAATCAGGCCGGGAGGTTTTGGGCTATTTTCGGCCTCGGGGGGCCCTCGCCGAGCCTCGGGACCGTCCAAAAGCGACTCAGGACGAAAAACCGGTCCTGGGGAAAGGAACGGGACTTCCAGGGACGCCGTCTTGAAAAAATCATGACGTCGCATGTCTGGAGTTGGCTGCTGCGGGATGTTGGCCGGCGCCGGGGGCGCGCTGGGGGTCCTCCCCGGGTCATCAAGGTATTTTCCGGATCGGTTCGATTCATCGGGAGCCTTGAGACGGGAGTCAATGCAAGCGGGGGTCAGCCAGAGCGCCCGATCTTGCAGGATCCTGCAGGGGCAGGGTCGCATTGACCCGGGCTTGGGCACAGGATCATGCAGAATTTGCCATGATCCTTCGCATCGACCTGGGTTTGGGCTTCTGATCTCGCAGGATTCTGCAAGGCCTGACTGACCCAGGTCTGGATTGACCCGGGTCAGCAGATCCCCGAGTTCAGAACGGTCCCCATGGGGTGCCACGGCGCTCCCTGGTGCTGGCTGGATCTCCCCCGGGCCCGTTGCCAGCCCCCCCGGCGGTGCCGCCACTGGGGGGGGGGGTCGGCCGGCTGGCTGCTAGTAGTGGGGTAGTCCCGCATGCAGGGGCCCTCCGCCGTTTCTCGCGGGGGACCGCCCAATGGGCCCGCCCTCCAGCGGTCCGCCAGGCTCGCCGCCCCCCCAGGTGTTCAAGGCTGCAGTCGGTCAAGGTGTTTGAGGTGCGCGGCCACCCGGTTTGGTTTGGCCGCTTCGGTTGGCTGGTCCGGCCGGTTCGGTTCGGCCGGCTCGGTTCGCACAGCGGTCCGGGTCGGTTCCGCTTCGGTTCGGCGGGTTCGGTTCCAGACCGGGTTCTCGGTTCTCGGTTCGATTCGCGGCCAGGTGGGGTGTTTGGGACGGTTAGCATTTAACCCGCACGCCGTGTTGCTTTTTGCTGTCGTTTTCCTGCTCACCCTGCCCTCCAGGCTCCACCGATACAATTTGGTGTTTTTTGTATCGGTCTGCATTCGCATTGTGGTTCTTTACGTAAGTCGGGCCTGTCCCTTTTCACAGGAGGAAGATTCAAAAATAGTCCAAAAATTGTCTGGGGACGATTTTCTTCATATGTTCTGATCATTTCTGCATGTTTTTAAATTATTTCTTCTGCCAAAATCAGCCTGTAGGGGGACACGCCCGACAGAATTCGCTGCTCCAAGTCAAGATCCTGTCGCTCCAGGTGCTCGAACTGGCCGCGGCGACGAGGATGGCCACCGACATGACCGAAGTATGGAGCGGCTGGCTGGAGCACCTGAGGGAGCTGGCGGTGGAGCGTGGTGGGTTCGCGGCTCCTCCCATCCAGCGTGGAGTTTTGGAAGACAGGCGCCGTCGTAGACCACTCCGAGGAGGCTGCGACGTGCGTCCCTGCACAGGAGCGCACCTTCGGCAAGGTATCGCAGGCGCCGCTGGGCCTGGCGAGGGAAGACGTGAGGCCTCTGTTGCTGCGGCGGACGGGCGGAGCCCCCGCCTGTCCGCACTCAACGCTTCCTGCCTCTGGAGGGTTTCTCCGAAGGGCTTAGGCGACCCGTCCTCCTCCTCCTCCTCCTCCTCCTCCTCCTCCTCCTCCTCCTCCTCCTCCTCCTCCTCCTCCTCCTCCTCCTCCTCCTCCTCCTCCTCCTCCCTCCCTCCTCCTCCTCCTCCTCCCTCCTCCTCCTCCTCCTCCTTCCTCCATCTTCTCCTCGACCTTCTCCTCCTCCTCCACCTCCTCCCCCTCCGCCTCCTCCTCCTCCTCCTCCTCGGGTCGCCTGCGGCCCCGAGGGAAACCGTGCACCTGTCTCGCCGCATCTGTGCAAGCTTTTTCCCAAACATTGTTGCATGCACCATTCGAGGTCGCATTGCCAAGTGGGCGCCGAAGGCTGGGCCCGATCGGATCGACGTTGATCGTGCTTGGGGCCGCTCGAAAGACCGTCTTGCCAACTGCAGCTGTGCAGTCCATAATGCGGTCATCAAAACACGGGTCGGATGGTGGGTCACATCGTGTCGCTAGCGATTGAGACCCGCTCCTGTTGTTTCGGGTGCCCGTGCCGGGCGGGCAACCAGCATCACTACATGCACTGCGACCCGCTGTGGAGAATAGTTGCGCCCTTTTTGCCCTGACCCGCTATTCGCGGCAAGCCTCACCGAGCGTTTGGGCAGATTACCTGGGAAACTCACAGATGAACTAATTCTTTGCCCCGTGCTGCTCACTCATGTGTACAATCACTGCCGAGATGTGTTCGCCCGCGGGCGGACTGAACCCAGTGCGCCGATTTACCAAATGGCGCTCCGTTCCGCGAGCCACCAACTAGAACTTGCAGTACTGAAGGTCCAATTCTCCGGTTTCTTTGCGAGGCGCACCACATACGCAGTGAGCCTAGTCCTCACAAAGACGAGCCTTCCTGAGGAAACGAGCGCCTCCTCTTCCTCCCTCTCGTCGTGCACGCTGCGGGTTCCCACGCATCCGCATCCAGTGCTCCTGGATTAGAATGTGTTATTCTCGCGTTCATTTTTCTGCGGTTTACGCCTGCTGCCGCAAAGCGCCACTTTATACAGCCATCGTTCGCAGGACAGCCTTTCTTCGTGTCTTGATACTTCAATGCTTTTTGAGGGCACGGCATGTGAGGTAGCTTAGTTGCTTTTTCGCCTGAATCACTGAGTTTGTCATCGTTCTGCGGTGTCCGCTCCCGCTCCTACCCTCCCAAAACAATTCGGAAGACGAGTGTGCGCGGCGTGAAAGCGAAAACCACATTTTGAAAACGGTCCGCCATCCATTCGTATAGATCTTAAGTTAAGCTTCGGGGTCATAGATAGTGATGAAGTCTCAGGCGAAACGCCCAGCCCGCACTTCCGATACGTCTCGGGGTGCGACAGGGAGGGTTTACTTCCAAGCAAAAGGGATGGAGAGGAGGATTCGGATGAGAGGAGCGACGGCACAAGGGGGAGGGTGCGACGGCAAATGGACCGGGGAAAACCGTAATTTGTATCTCCGCCCCAGACCCTGACCTCGTGAGATTTCCCTGGGTGCCTGTGTAGGCCTCCGGAGGCGCAGAGGAGGGCAAGTGCGTGCAGAATTTGGATCTTCGATCGTCGTGGGACCTTCTATCGGATGACAGTTCCGTTTGTCTGCCCAGACCCCCCCCAGTGGCAAAGAAACCATATGGAGGGGAGTTGTTTCACCGCTTTCGGCCTCACCGTGCCAGAGTCGTACAACAACTGTTCGGGATAAGAGCCAACCCTGGGGAAGGGGTCTGGACCTCCAGTGGTCACGTCGTGAACAAAAATCAGACGTTGAATCTATTTTTTGTTTGCAGAGGAGGGCCCAGCCTATACCTCTATGTTATATATCATGTATGCATATATGTGTATGTATGTATGTATGTATGTATGTATGTATGTATGTATGTATATATATATACATATATATATACACCACACGTATATAGATGCAAGCATCTCAATATACATGTTTATATATATATGTATATATACACATATGTAATTCTCATCACGTACCGCGAGCGCGTCGGGAAATAAGTGCACAGTTGGGCCAACGCAGCTGGCGTGGAACATGCAGGGGAGCCTGTAGTTGGTTGATATGGTGCAACGACAGATGCGCTCTGAACAGATGAGGGTGACGGACGGGGGAGATTCGCCCCTGACGCGTCCGACAATTATTGGTGCGCACGCGAGAGAGAGAGAGAGAGAGACAGTGAGAGGGGCAGAGAGAGAGAGAGAGAGAAGCCCATCAGCGGTTCAGTGCCATTCAGTGCTATCCCCGAGCGCTGCGATGGTGCTGTCTGTCGTTGTCCCCATTTCCGATGGGAGAGTCTTGGCTCGGCTGTCGAAAAGGGAACGGATGAAGCATGCGTAAGGGAACCAGTTGGAACGAAGAGGGAGAAGGAAGGGCAAGAAGGGGGCGTCAGGAGTTGATGTGATTTATACTGCGCGGTCAGTGGCGTGTTCTTACGAAACAGAGGGTTGCAGGGAGGATGAACTGCACACAACAGCTTGTTGCCCAGGTGGGCATCCTCAAGGACTACTGTTTCCAGAAAGGCTCTCCACCACCAGCCTGGAGCTACAAGTTTGACGAAGAGGACGGGTGTCAGGCGTGTCTGCTCATGGGATGCACGCTCTCCCTTGGTCTGCGCCCAATTCTCTTATAATCTTTTGTGGTAGTCTCCTGGAAACTGTTTCATGTCCAGCGTGCTCCAGCCAGACCAGCATCTCTGACACAAAAGAACAGAATCGTTTGGCGAACGGTGGGATGGCCAGGCCAGATCTAATCCCGGGTGCCGGGCCCCGAGTGACGGACCCTACCGCGCAGCCTGCCTAGCATTGTAGAACCAGGGCTGATAATGAATTCGCGCTGCCCCGATGTCTCGCCCAGGAGCAAGCAGTCTGCCCAGTTGAGGTCGATCGCCGGACATTCCACACAGCCGTCTTTCCGTTGTCCAGGAGACCCTGGGCTCTCCAACGCTACCATCGTCTGTTGAGAAACGCCCCCCGGCCAAGCTGGGTCTCACAACTTATTAAACTTCAACTCCGAATTCCAAAAAGCTGACCCAGTTTCTAAACCTCTGGATCCTTGCCCGGATCTTCCGCTAAATCTTCATCGCAACCAGCGCAAGTGTGTATCGCAACCAGCAAGACGGGCGCCGCGTTGTCTCAAGAACACCAGTCTCCAAAGCTGGCTCTCGCAAGAGGTTAAGACATTCAGCGAAGCTGGGCCTCGATTTCTTAGTCGAATATTTCTTACCTGAAGTTTTGAGTGTGACCCAGCAGCTCCCTAATTATGGCGCCTGGCGGGGGTGCTCCCGCGCAGGCAGGGCCTCTTCACAGGGACGCGCGGGGGCCGTGGGGGCATCCCTCCTGCCGGGGGGGGGGCTCCTCCCCTCGCTTGAGCGACGCAAGAAAACGGGGTCGTCTGCGCCGACATTTGCGCGTCAGCTCCCCGCGTGAGGTCGCGCGTAAGCGCCCTTGTCTCCAATGTGGCGTGCCGCGCCAGTGGCCCGCGTAAGCCACCGCGTAAGGTCGCTACGTCATCTTGCGTAAGACCCGATTTTGATCGTCGCTCTCTTGTTCCCAGTGTGAAAGAAGCACGACCGGGAGGTTTTTGGTAGTTTTCGGCCTCGGGGGGCCCTCACGCTGCTTCGGGACGGTCAAACAGCAACTCGGGATGAGGAAACGGTCCCAGGGAGGGTGTGTAGACTTCTGTGGGTGCACGTTGTGAATCACAGCATTCGAGTGTCTTTTGTTGCTCTTGTCGTGCGGTGCTGGGCCTCCGAACTGGGATCGTCCCTGGCAGCCCAGAACCATAATGAGGAGGATTCCGTATTCAGCATTCGCATGCGATTTCTCGCCCCCAGCCTTCGAGTTCCCCCATACACACACAAACACACACACACACGCACATTTTCCGCGCGGGCAAAAAACGGAAACGGTAAACTCGTCGATGCCCCCCCCCGCTCATCGTCTACGTATGCTTGCAAATGATTTAGGTCCAGACTGCAGACGGAGACCCCACATGGTCGGAGATTGGTGTCGCCCCCCCCCCCTTCGGTATCCCACCAGTGTTCGAGAGGAGCGTGTTTGACTTGTGGATCCCCCTTCAGTGTCCCACCAGTATTCGAGAGGAGCGCGTTGGACTTGTGGATCCGATTGCTTCTGCCTTTGCAGAGCGCAGCAGTGCCCGTCGATTGGGTGACGCTGGGCATGCGGCAACAGCACGAGGAGGAGGAAGAAACTGAGGAGGACAAGTAGGGGAGGAGGAGGAGGAGGAGGAGGAGGAGGAGGAGGAGGAGGAAGGCCGGCACCCATGCTGAAAGAAGAAGGGCAAAGGGCTGGCCGACCCGACCCAGCCCAGAAGCTCAAGGTCTGTGTCCGCCGGCGAGGCCGTAGTCTGCGCGTGGGCGCGCAGGCACGGGGCGAGCGAGAGAGGCCCGGCTGGTGGGGGCGGCCGCGCCCCCGGGGGCTCTCTTCCCGTCACCACCCACCGAGCCACCCCAACCTAGCCCGCAGGCCCCAATATGCCCTCCATGCCCAGTGGGGGGTGGGGCGGGCGGACGGGGAGCAGCGACAACATCACATGTGAAGCCCGTACCCCCCCCCCCACACCCAAAGGTCGGGTCTTCGGGTTGGGCTGGGGTGGTCCGGCAGGTCCTCTTCCCGCGTCCTGCTCCCGGGCGGAGCTGCGGGAGTCTGCTGCGCCGCGTGGGCGGGCTTGGCGAGGCCTGGCGGGGGCGGCCGCAGGCGCCCTGGGCTGAGCCCTGGCCCGGCGTGTGCACTGCCGAGAAGCAGGGTCAGGGCTGTGGGTGGCCCGCGCGTTACGCCGCACGCCCGGCGGCCACTGGTGCCCTGTTGGCAGTTCGTCGGGAACAACAACATAGAAGACAGTACCCGTGGCGGGCTGCTTTTCAGTCCCAGGGCTTTTCAATTGAGGGTCGGGGACGAAGACGGGGTGGTGTAGTGGATTGCTCTTTTTTCCGATCCCCGGGGAAACACCCGAAAATGTATTCACCAGGATCCCATATACACCAGGATTCGCTTTCCTGTGCGATTTTCTGTGCGGGGCCGGCAAAAGCCTCGGTGAACAGAGTTCGGCCCCTTGGATTTCGCAAGCCCGAGAGATTGCCTGTTCCTGGGCTGCACGCCTTCATCGCTACCCTCGCGGCGAGCACCGCCCTGCTTGGCCGTCTCCGTGAACGTGCGGCCGACCTTGTCCACCCAGTGCTTGGGCTTCTTCTTCTTTTCAGATTTTTCTTGTTCTGCTTCTTCTTCTTCTTCAGCGTTGGCTTCCTCATGTGGGAGCTGCCGTCCTCCACGTCCCCTCGCGACCTCAGCATGGGCCTGGGCGCATTCGCCGCGAGGCTTCTGCTGTAGACGGGCCGCTTCTTGCGGCGGCGACGCTTCTGCGCATTCTCCGAGCGCGCCTCGGCCGCCCTGACCCTCCTGCTCGCCCTCCTCCTGCAGGCAGGGGCTGGGAGATGGAGATCGTGCGTGGCACGAAGGGAACCCCCGTTGGACACCCACCATGGCTGCAGCGTGAACCTTCTCTTGCAGATCCTACGGATTCTGCCCCCGCAAGCCGATGCGAAGGCGGCATCACGACCGCCACTGGGAACGACGCCAAAGGACGGTCTCGTATCACCGTGGGCAGCTCGCTTTCCAGTTCGATCTTAAGATAGCTAGCTACATCGTAGGCAAGCGTTTACGGTGAAGAATGACAAACATAATGCCCGTGCGTTCACCACGAACATTCGGATGTCCGATCTCCGCCAGGCATTCGAATGTCCGATCGCCTCCCTGCATTGGAATGTCCGATCTTCTTCCTGTATTCGAATATCCGATCTCCTCCCTCTCCTCTTCCTTCGTCCTCCTTCCTCCCGTCGCAAGTGCACTGTCGATTTGTCGTTCAGGCCACGGATCATTGCACGAGCTTACCTGTTGCAGACTGGCTTGCGCGTTGTCCCTGGTTTGCCTGGCGACATGTTGTTTTGCGATGTGCTTGTGTCACCCGTGGTCACGCCGAAGACCTTAGTAATCTGAGTGGCCTCCTTCCTCTCCGCCCGCTCCGCGGCCGCTCTCCGCCCCGGCTCCCTCTCCTGCAACCCGACAACTCGTACGCCCTGCCCCAGCTACTAGAGCGCGCGAGCGGATTGTCTTTGCCGCGCCGCGACGGACACATTGTTTCACCCGTGGTGTTTGGCCCCCCCAAAAGAATCCCGGGCGTTTGCCACGATCGACGTTCGGGGTTCCAGAGACGGGGGTCCATGCAAACGGGGGTCAACCAGCGCGCCGGATCTTGCAGGATCCTGCCAGGGCCGGGGCCTCACTGACCCGGGCTTGGGTGCAGGATCCTGGAAGATCATTAGGGGAACGAAGCATGGCATAAACATAAAAGCTCTGGCGTCCGCGCGGATTTCTCGGATCCGCGCTGGACCCCCCTCCATGGCGCGCAGAGCGCGCCAGGGGCGGCGCTGGAGGCGCCGCCAGGAGGTTCGGCGCCGATCTCAGAGAGCCGCGCGGACCTCCGAGTTCTTGTGGTTGTGCCATTATTCGTTCCCCTAATGGCCGTTTTTTTTGTTGTTTTGCCGATCGGCGCGGGCCCTCGCACTTCCCCCCTCTGCCCCCTGGAGTAGATCTTGGCTGTTTTGGGCGCCTGTTTCGAGCAGCTGGAGCCCCCCCCATAGGACTCACTGCTGCAAACAGTCGCACTATAAGCAGAGGTCCGGAGCCAGACCCCCCCTCTCTCCCCCCCGTTCCGCCGAATGTTGAAACGCCGAATAAACAAAAGCCCACCTTAAGGAAGCCCGCTTAATCCTCCTCCTCTTCCTCCTCCTCCACCTCCTCCCTCCTCCTCTCGTCGTCCTCCTCCTCCTCCTCCTCCTCCTCCTCCAGCCGTTTTGGCTCAGGTGTTTCTGAGCTTGCAACAGCTACTTTCAGAGCGGCGTTGTTGTTGCGGGCCATTGGCTCAGACTGCAGTCTTTGTGGTGAGCTCCTGTGGGAACGATTTCCTACATGTATCATGGCGGCCGTGCTCCGACTCTGCCATGGCGAGACGAAAACAAGCAGTGGCAGGGATGGAAGTCTGGTCGTGGAGTCGACAAGGGTGGGACAGGCGGCGGGCTCAAGTGCGTCACCTGTGGCTGCGCCAAGAACGACCTCAAGACCAGGTCTGCAAGCATTGTGGCGGCTCACTCTCCAAGGTCCACGTGGCGGAGGCGCCCCCCGTGGGCGGGGCGTGGGCGGCTGGCATCCCTCCTGGCATGTTTGCTGCTCCTCTTCCTGTGCGTGGTCAAGGGGCAGGTGAACTCCGCAAGGGGAACGGCAAGGGCGCCCATGGCCATGGTCCCGCTGGCGTCGGTGGACCTGGCAAAAGGGGCTGGTGGCAAGCAGCCCTTGTCGGTGGGCGCCCAGCCACAGCTTTCGTTGGAGGAGGCTCGACAGGTCGCATCACTTTCGCGCAAGGCAGGTGACGCTGCCGGCGCAGAACGATACCATCAGCTGGCCCAGCAGACCTACTCCAGGGACAACTCCTCGGCCGCCCCCATCCACCAGAGGATCCAGAATACCTACGCAGAGGTATCCAGACTGGAAAGGCAGATTG